TTTATAACTTTTTGCTTTTTTATTTTCTTCCCCATCTGCTTAAGGGGTATTTTTCTGCCATATTTCATTGTTTGGAAAAAAAAAAAAAAAGATAGACCTTTTTGTTAGGCCTTTTCAAAAAGTACTATACTTTTCACAATTTTTTTAAAAATAATACATCTACACAGTAAAGTATGGTTATATGGAAGACTAGAATCTGACTACTGAAGATTGCTCACTTGCATAATTGGCCTAGGATCTCCAATGTTTGACATAGGATTTACAATATAAGGAATCTTGAATTATGATTAATTACTTGTTACTTTCTAAAATTTAGTTAGAAAGGTTTACTTTTTGAAATTCAATATTTTTAACATTAGAGTGCAGATGTCATTCAAAACAGACATGTGAAAAAATTATGAGGAACATTTTGATTTTTGTATAAATTCCAAAGCAAATTGAAGGTTAAAAATGGCTTTGAGCCTACTATACAGCCTTCATGAAACAAAACTAACCTCCTTTTTCTTTTTTTTTCCAGCCAGCATTTTGCAAGCCATGTCTCTCTTGATTTGTGCTGAGATGTACCAGGTATCACGACTCCAGCATATTTGTGAGCTGTATATCATCACACAACTGCAGAGTATGCCTACTAGGGAATTGGCATCTACAAGTCTGAGTGTCGTTGGGTTGCTCAGAAAAGCCAAGGTACATATGGTCTGTATATGAATATAGAATATTTAATGACAGTGTGCTGCTGGTATAATGTATAAGGAGTAATGTATTTTTAAAAATATTGTGGTGATTTGTTTTATAGGGTAGGGCAGTATCTTGATCAGAGATTCCTGATAGCACAGGAATAGACAAAGTGCAGCCAAACTTAGAGTGCCCCCACCTCCATTTTGAAGCGTGGGGATGCTGAATATATGCAACTTGGAGTCTGCTGGAGTGTGCTAATTAGCAGCCTCTAATTCATTGAGTTGGTTCTGATGTGTGCTAACTAGCATGCATTGGAGGAGACATCTGGCACATTTATAGGCGCCCTCAGGTTAGTATCTTCCTCTGCAGAAGTAGATTCAAACCTATATTTCCTGCCTTCCAGCTTGTGCTACCCAGGTGGAGCACACTCTCTCTATCCTTTCTGTTGATACTATATGATGATGCAAAAAAAATCAAGATTGATTGAACCTAAAAGAGGGGACACGCTAGTTGCCATGACCTTACTAGTCCTGTAGGTAAGGTGCTTACATGGCACAGGGAAACATGGTTTCCATCCATGTTTATATGCTTCCTGGACTGCTTATATATTTATATAATGCATGTTTGTTTATGTACAATTTCATAGTTAGTAGGGTCGGAAGGGACCTGAGCAGATCATCAAGTCCAACGCCCTGCCATGGGCAAGAAAGAATTCTGGGGTCAGACAGCCCCTGCAAGGTGTCTATCTAGCCTCCTCTTAAAGACTCCCAAGGTAGGAGCGAACACCACTTCCCTGGAAGTTGGTTCCAGATCCTAGCTGCCCTGACTCTCTGAAGTAGTGCCTCCTGATATCCAGCCTGAATCTGCTCTCTGTCAGCTTATGGCTGTTGTTCCTTCTTACTCCCAGTAGTGTTTGGAGAACAGGGACTTTCCCATTGCCTGCTGGTCTCCCTTGGCCAGTTTATAGATCCCCTCTCAGCCTCCTCTTGTGGAGGCTGAACAGGTTCAGATCCTGTAGCCTATCCTCATAGGATCTGCCCTGCTGCCCCCTGATCATGCTAGTGACCCTCCTCTGGACCCTCTCCATGTTGTCAACATCCCTCCTGAAGTGTGGCACCCAGGACTGGATGCAGTGCTCCAACTGCGGCCTGACCAATGTCACATAGAGGGGGAGGATCACCTCCTTGAACCTCCTCGTGATGCATCTGTGGATGCATGACAAGGTGTGGTTAGCCTTTCTGACTGCATCCCCACATTGGCGGCCCATGATCATCTTTGAGTCGATAATGACTCCAAGATCCTTTTCTGCCTCTGTGCTGGC